TTTCGACGTCAGTTGCTGCTGCTGCTGCTGCTGTTGCTCTTTGGCTTACATTTCATCAGCGCTAATGATAAGAAAACAATTCGACTAAAGCAAGATAGAGAGAGACAGAGAGAGAGAGAAAAGTCAAATGACACAAAGCGAGAAAGCGTTGCCCCAAAGTCAAGTTCCAGGACTTGTCCCCAGCTGCTTAGCGCGCATAAATATTGTAATAAGCATGAAAATTACAATTTCAGCTGACGTGTCTGCTGCAATGACAATGCTACTTGCCACTTGCAACTTGCCACTTGCTGCTTGCTGCTTGCTACTTGCCACTTGGCATTGAAACATTTTGTAATTTACATTTAATTAGAGGATTTTGTGCAGCGCGAATTGCGACGGCAAAGACGTCGACTTCAACTGCCACTGAGATTGAGGAGGAGATTGAGTCGGGCACAGGAAGCGAGAGTTGCCCGGATGTCTGGCTCGGCCCTTTTGTCGAGGCGTTGCTGCTGCGTATTTGCATTGGCCACAGCGGCTGCTCCAGCTGCAAAGGCTTAAAGTCAGTGAAAGGATTTGCCGACGCAACAAGCAGGCGACTGTGCCCCGTGGCCCGTACCACGTGCCGTATGAGCAACATTTAATTAAGTGACTTTCTGTTGACTTCGCCTTTTATATTTACCTTTTTTTTTACCTGCCAACCGCCTGTTGTAGGTGCATTGCATGTGTATCTGCGGCTGAATGGTGTGTGCAGTGCCTGGTTATGACTGTAAACAGGAAATTAAGTTCTAAGCCGCATGCCGCTCGAACGGGAGCCACAAACATGATTAGTCATGCTCGTGCTGCATGTTGCAAGCATAATTGAAGGCATTTGGCTGCAGCTTAAGTGAATTTGCTCTAGCAAATGGAAACGGAAAAGGATTTAACATTTGAGTCGAGCTGCATATGGATTTAGTGGATTATAGAGTAAGAAATTGCGTATGTAAACTATTCAAATTCAATTTAATATATTCAAGTTTGCTGAGCTTTAAATTAAACAAAGTGGCTTAGTTGTAAAGGCTTGACTGGCCTAAATGCTAAGCTAATAATCTGTCGTCTCACTTGGCGTATACGCAATGTCAAAAATGCCAAAAGCAATGTCGGCCATGTTCGACGATTGGCCAAAACAGCGTCAGTTAGCAGAGCTGACGCCATTTGAGCCCTGTAAATACCAGAAATATTCAAAATTCTTTGGCAAAACATGCCAAAGAGCAATAGGTGGCAGTATTTTTGGCAGAATATTATTAGGAAATTTTACAGATTTCAGCTGCAATAACTGCTCAATTACCAGCAGCAGCAGCAGCCGGCCACTGCTGGCTAAGATAAAGCATCTAAAAGATGCAAAACTTAAAAATAAAATATTCTTCAGCGGCATGCAGAGAGAGCGAGAGCGAGAGCTGAGTGACACGAGAGACGACTCTAAATATGCGTAACAGTTGCCAAGCAATGTCTTTGAGGTGTATGGACCAGGGGGTGTGCGGGCGTGTGTGTGTGTGTGGGTCGAGGAATGTTGTAGCTACCGAAAAAGACAAGAACATTGTTGCTAAAATTTCTCGTGTTTTGTGTGCGTCATGCAAAGTGGCATGAGCCAGCAAACCTTTGCCGCTGGCTGGTTTAGAGTATTTTTTTCACTCTGGGGTTCATGGGCGTAGCAGCAGAATGTCATAGCTGGAGACAGCTTAAAAACACACACTTTAAGCTCAAGTTCGCTGCTGGGCTGTTTCTTAAAGAAATTTAATTTATGCTCAATACACACACACACACACACGCACACACGCACGCACGCACAGACGCACAGTGTAAACATTTGCATGCGAAATTTAAGGCAGGTTTCTTGAAAGTCTTTAGCATTATTTACACTCAATTCACCTGCCTTGGCCGAAACAAAATTTCATGGGAAATTCATTTCTTTTACAGCTCGTAAAGTAACCTTTTTATTTGACCAGCTTGCGTATGTTCGTTCGCCTTTGCCATTGAAAGGCATTTGCTCGGTTAGACACAGGATTTGCTTGCATTCGAATGGAAACGCAGCTGTTTTTAGTATTTGCCTCAAATATGCTGGCAACAAATAATTTAAGCTATATTATATATTTATTTTCAATCTGTCAACAAATTGGCATTTATTTAAAAATGAATTTTTTATAAAATAATTTTGCAATGTAAATACAATGTATTTTGCCATCAGTTGATATTATATTTATTTTATGGTATTTAATAGAAGCAGATACTAGTTTTTCTTTGTATGCATATATGCAATATATATATATATATTTTTTTAATTTATTATTTTTGTTGTACAGAAATTTTAAATATTTTTGATGGGTTATTAAAATATATAAAATATTTATATAAATAGTTTTTTTAGATATATTTCTTGTATATTAATTATTATCATTTTCGTGAATTTAAAATAATTTCTATTTAAATTTTAAATGTATGTTTTCAGTATAAAAATATTTATATAAATTTATTTTAGTTACTATATTATTTAATTTTTTATACATTAATATTTTTTTATATAATTTGCCATGGAATTCTAAAGAGTTTATCTTATATGTATAATTATATATTTCGATATACATTTTATATTATTTTTATAACTTATATTTATATAGATATTTTTCTTATACATTTTATTTATTATACCATCTTTTCTACATTTTAATGTTTATTTATATTGATTAAGGTTTTCATTTTCTAAAGAGTAGCAAATATTTAACAGCTTTAATATTTATCATTATTATAAATGTGCCTTAGTCTATCTGTTTTACATCACAATTTACTACAATTCGGATTTCTAGCTTCATATTTTTAAAGCTCTAGAAATCACTTTGAATAGATTTAAAATTTTTTAAAATGTTTTTCACATTTTATAGTAAAGAATTTTCCACCTTTTAACCGAGCTAAAATATACTTTTATTTGCAACTCGAACTAAATGCTCGGCAAAGTTTCTTTTGTAAACTTAAATTCGCAAAATTATGTAGCTATGATATAAGCTAGGCATAAAGAAAATATATAAAATCAGATATGAAAGAAAAGGCTTTAGTTCTTTCCAACAATTTTCACAAATTACGAATACCTCGGCTAGAGGCGGCTAAGATTTTGTCATTCGTTTCTAATAACCAAATGGCTGGTTATTATGAAAGTTTTTCCATTTTGCAAAAGTTGTGCGCACGAAAATGTGAAAGAAGGAAAAAGTGAAAGTCCCAACGACATACGCACAGGGAAACTGAAACGATCAAAAAATGTGCAAAAAACTGATGCAATTTACTAGAACACGTTCAAGCATTATAAGAGCAAGTGGGGAGTGCCATGGGGGCTGGATGGGGGGTGTGTGGCTGATGTTACTTAAGAAATTTCATGCAGCACACATAAAAAAGAAGTTTTGCAGTGACTTTTGTTAAAGGCTTTGCTGCTGCTGCTGCTGCTGCTGCTGCTCTCGCTGAAGTGCATGTGTCTTGATTACAAATGTTGCCAAGCGCTGTGCTGTGTCCTGCATGTCCTGCATGTGTTTTGTATCCGAGTGCAAGCTGGATGCTGGATCCAGGCGCAAATTTGCAAGGACAGCATTTGAATTTGAAATTGAAAACAAGTTTATAACGTGAATTGGCAAATATAGCGTGGTTGGGGCGGAGTGAGAGCTGGTGTAAAAGATTTTCGTGCTGCCACCACGCACGACTGACATTGTCAAACACACACATACACACACACCCGCACACCCACACACCCACACACTTGCTGCTGTGCCATATTGACGCACTTGCAGCTTGAAGTAGCAGCAACTCTTAAAGGGACTTTGGACTTTGGTTTTCTCTTCTTTTGATGCGCTTGGGGGGCTTGGACTTGAACGACTTTTGGAGGCTGCCAGGCTCTTTGTTGTTGCATGTACTCGTTTGCAACTGTGTCGTTGTTATGGCTCACCACACACACACACACACACTCACACACACTTACAAACACACATGCAGCTTTCATTTGCGTAAGTCGTTTTCAACGTTTCAACGCCGAGGGGCAAATTGTTTGCTCGCCTCGTTTTCCATTCAAATTGCTTTCTTTTTGCCTCCATAAGTATATCAATATGAATGATGTATGTGCATGCAGATGCATACTTATATTCATATATAGCATATATGTGCATTGCTGATTTATGTACAAACACACAACACACAACACAAATGCAGATGTTGTTCGCCGACGCATTGTGTTCCATTTACCTAGAGAAATGCAAATATTGTTGACGCAGTTGCAACTGCTCTCAAGTGCTCACAAAATACAGGTCAAGTTTCATGTTGCAGCAAAGAAGCTGGATGAAGGAGGGAAATTGGAACAAAGTTTTCAAAGATTTTGATTCACATTGAATGGGAATATGCGTGACTTGGCAGTGGGTAGACGTCGCTCTTTAAATTAATTTTTTAGCTCAGTTTCCAAATGAGTTTCCCAGGTATTAAATATGTGTCTGTATGTGACCTTAATTTGGTACATTATCTAAGGCTTTGCTTACTTCATTGTGTCGAATCTTCCCATAGATTGCCAAGCTCATCTTCATAACTGCTAAAATTTCTAGGGTATCATGTGTGCAATTGTGTATTTTTGGTCATAATTGTGACTGATTTAGCCTCGGGCATTTAAAATTATTGCATTGTATTCATGAGAATCTTAATCGAATATGAAATGGAGTCGCACATGCTACTTGTTCAAGGAAAATACAAATATTGGGTTAGTCAATAGGATTTCTAGCATTGTTTAGTTTTTGCCACATTCATTTAGTCAGAATATGCAAAGTAAACAAAGTGGGTTTGGCTTTCTGTGTATACGAATCTGTGACTAACAGCAGACGGCGTGACTGTACCGATTGGCTGCAAAACAGCTGCAAAGCACTGTGTCTAGGCGTATATAAGGCTCTCTCAGTGGCCGATTCAATAGTGCACTGCAATCAGCGCATTAGACAGCTTCGAGTAGCAGCGAGAAATCAACATTTGCCAACATGAAAACCTTCTGCCTGTTCGTCTACATTGCTGTTGTTGCTGTGGTCTTTGCTGGCACCGATCACAGCCAGCATCAGAGCGGCGCCAAGGCAGGCGAGCTTGTGCACTGGGTCACCGGCACCAATACAAAGGGGGCTGTCACACTCAACCACACGGGCCTGTCCTCCTTGAAGGCGGAAGCAACTGCAGCAGTGACCACGACTACGACCACGGTCAAATCTGTCGAGGAAACAAAGGCCACTGAGGCAGTGAAGGCAACAGATGCAGCAGCTCCAGCGGCAGCTCCAGCAGCTGAGGCTGGCAAGGATTCCGCCGAGGCGCAAAATAACACCATCACCACTGACAGCAGCATCGCCAACGTCACCACCACAGAAGCCGAAGTGACCACTACAACAGCTGCACCTGCCGCTGCTGCTGCCACAGATCCAAAAGCTGCCAAGCCGGCTGTGAAAAAGTAAAGCCATGCCAAATCCACACATGCGAACATATGCATATCTGAAGCATATTTATATGAGAATCCTTCAAAACGAAAATGTATTTAAGCTTTTAGATGTCTAAGTAATAAATTTATGTGCAGACCAAAACGAAAGTGTTCAAGTTCTTCAAAGCGTCCATCAAATGAAGCTCTCACTCGGTGTGCCATGTAAGCGGATAGAGCCAGAGCTAACAAGCGGATCACGTATCCTTTTCACTGCAATAAACACCAATGGAGCGATAAGTAAAGCGAACTAAGTCTAAGTCCTCAGCTCACCTGCAGCATCCTTGTTTTCTTGCTTTTAACAAAACCAATTATTTGATTTTAAAATTCCATTAAAAGATAAAAAAACATAGGCAGTGAGTGAGTTGGAGCAAGGACAACTGCCTGGATTGTTGCTTGTTGTGGCCGCCTGTTGACATGCCCGGTCGTCCAACCAAGTCAAGGAGCAATTGTCGTTGTCTTGCGAGATAAACTGCAAGAAAAAAGAAACGAAAGCGCAAAAACATCTAAAAGGGTTTAACACGTACAGCAGTCGCCAGCATCTGAAGCCATAAATAAAAGTCGCACTTGGCGCCTGGGCACAGAAAAAGAACTGGAAAAAACGGCAACTCGGGCCAAAAGACGTTGACAGAGGCCAGCATTAAGACAGCAAGAGGCGACAGGCCGAACACTTTGATAATGATGACAGCCAATTGTGGCTGCCAGATGTTGACTCTTGCTCAGTTAGCAGATAACTCCATATCGATTGTCTTAACAAACTTTTAGTTACTTCGATTAATAGTTGAGCGAAAAATATATTATGTGAAAACAATGAGCACAAGACTTAAGGCTTGTCAAAGTTCTTTTGATTTTGTTTAATGAAGTCAATTAGGGCATGCATCGATGTATTCCTTCATCTATTTAACTTGACTCTATGTAAAGCTCATAAAGTTGTAGATTTGCTAAGTGGAATTTATTTATTGTTGTGTGCCTGTTCTGATACTAGAGAAGCGAATCTGATATGTGTCAAGCGGTAAATTCTTTGGATGAAGAGGATATAATGCTTGTTTAGAGGTGTGGCAAGCCTGTAAAAACTTGATCTGTCACAGTTTATAGTAAGCTTCTCCACAGATCGATGGCCTGTAACTTATATAGGTAGAATATTCTCTTCAGTTTGGTAAATGATAACTTATATAAAAGCTGTTTTCTTAGACGTTCATAACTTCACTGATACGATGTTTATGAAAATAGGTGTTAAAGATTCCATTTCATTAAAGCTCGCATGCAGACATTAATGTCATAAAGTATTCTATTAAAAACATTCTGTTTTATTGATATTAAAAATATTTGTGGTTTATTTTATTATGATTCAAGTTTGTATAGCTCTAAAAAAAACAGCTGCGACAAGTTTCTTTTTTATTGCTGTTGAACAAATGATATAAACCATTCCGTCGCTTGTAGCAAATCGATATATATATATAAAAAATTTGAGCTATTTCTGGAATGTCATTATTCATAGATGATATTCATCACTACGCTAAATATATAATGCATAATTGAAAGAAACAAATTAGTTTCTCGCACTACCCAATGTTTTACTCCATTTTAGTTTTATTTTTCCATCGTTTCTGGGCTTAAAGCAAAACTTACTTTAGCTAGCCAGCTTAAGGCTTACCTTAAGCGTATTTTACTGTCATAGCTATTAGTTGTGCCACTGACAAAGGCAGACCAGAGTGAGACGTTTTTCATTTCAGCTGAGACATGACAAATGCTTCAGCAGCCATCTCTTTTTCCATTGTAAGCGCTCCTCTCTCTCTCGCTTACTCTTTTATTCGTTCTCTGTCATCAAGAGCAGCCGTGTAACTGTTAGTAAGACGTCAGTCATTTATGTGCTGGCTTGCTTGTTTATTAGCAGCTGACTAAAAGGGATAAACGCTGCCAGCTGCGTACAACGTGGCGTATGAGTGCTCCACATTTAGCTGGACTTCAATTAGAGCGCCATTGGCAGACCGCTCGGCGCAACAACAATGCATTCCCATTTAACAATTGTGCAATGTAAACAGCCACGCCCATGCACGCAGTTACCCTAACTTTAGAGCATATTAGCTCTGTCAAGCTCTGAATGAAATAAATATTCATAAGATTTGGGTTCTTATAAAATATATGAATACGCTCGCTTGCGCATTTAATAATCTTCATTTAGTTTTTGTTGCAATATTTCTCTTTTTATCTCTTATTTTGTTGGCAGTTTGTTTGGGTCTTAGCCAGGCGCTGCGCCAAAGAGTAATTGAAATGCACATTGAAACTTTGAGCATAATGCTCTTACAAGTTTCTTCTTTTTTCCTTTTGTAAAACTATAAAATACATTTTATATGGCAAACAAGAGTCGGCAGCAGCAGCAGCAAAGTACATAAGTAGAAATTATGTGCGCATGGGGGTGTAGCTGATGCAGACGGCATAAAAGTCAGTCTCAGAGCCGCACTCACAGTTGGCATATGAAGTCAACAGCAACACCAACAGCAGCAGCGACAACAGCAACAACAAATGCTGAAAATATGATTTAATAGTGGAAAGTGGAAAGTGCTTCTCTCATGCTTCGAACAGCATTCGTAACTTTTGCCAAAGCTGCTCGACGAGCGTAATTTTGTTAGCAAAGTCTAGCTGAGGCATGGGCGGAGCTAGCTAAAGTTTCTTGCGGTGCTGGCCAGCGTAGCGCCTGACAGCCAGCTGTCAAGTGCTGGTGGCTTGCACAAAATTTAAATAAATTGACGAACAAGAAGCAGCTCGAGCTAAAAGCCAACCGACTCTGTGCCAAATCCTGCAGTTGACTTGCTTAGCCCGCAGGCTCTAAGATGCAGCGTGGCAAGCAACAGCGCTGAAAACTTGCCACAAATTGTATTAGCGACTGACTGACTGCAAAGCCAGTTGGCATTGCCAGCAGCCCAACTGGAACTGCAACTGCAACTGCAGCTAAATTGTATTATGCATGAGAAAGGCGGCCAAGCTGTAGACACATGCTGTGGAAATGTGGTAACTGCACTCCACAGCTGACAGCTGGCCAAGATGGGCCTCAATTGTGCTGTGGCCACGGTAAACAGAGGCACATAGCTTAGGCCAAATGTTTTTAATAATAGATATAGAAGAATGGCAGATCTAGAAATACATTTATCATCAAGTATTATTACTTAGAGAATACGTCAAATTCTCTTTATAAATTTTTATACACTTTTTCCAGTCTGATTTAGTTACTTTGTATTTTTTATATATATATTGTTAGCTGGAAAAGAAGGGAATGGCATATAAATATTTTATTTATAGATTTTCTTTATTTAATAAAATAAACCCTTTCTTTAGTTATAATTTTCTTAGTTTCGTTTACCAGTTCCACTTCATTCAATTTCTCATATTACGCATACGCCTAGTTGTGAGCTTCCATGCCTCATTGTGCGCTGTCTCCAAGCAAAGCTCAGCATTCGCATGAGCCGTGACGTGCAATCAAATGGCTTTTAATCGAACGTGTCATTAAAGTTTTCATCAATTTGTGACGCACACGAACAAACCGTAAGAAGCCGTTGACAAGATTTTGCTTTATTTTGTTTTCTCTCTCTTTTCATCTTGTCTTTTGGACATAAAACTTTTTGCCACCCACACACTCTTACGCACACACAAGCAGCCACGTTTATAAACAATTTAAGCCGTACATGTGTTGTTTTTGCAACACAAGACAAACGGAGAGCGGCTTGTTTGCCGCTCAAGCCAGCCTCGCTTAACAGTTTTGTGCAGCCAAAACGTGTTTATGTCTGTTCATTGTCACATTTACTTGTAAACTTTTCTTTTTCCCTTTAACCCCAACCCAGAGCTAAGAAACTGCTGCCACAGCCACTGCCACTGCCACTGCCACTTTGGGTCGAGCCAAGAGTGCGCTCCTTAGACATGTCAGCAGCACAGCAGACACTTGCAGTCTGCAGCAGAGTCGAACGGCAAAAAATGGAACAAAATTGAATGCCCCAAAGAGGCGGAAAGCAAAACGGAAGCAAATAAGCACAGCATAGACGACGATTAAAAGTGCAGACATCGCTGCGACATAAACAAGGCACAAAGTTGTAAAAAAAACATGCACACAGACACACGCACACACTCACACACTCGTACACACATGCAGCAGCTAAACTAAAACAAAAGTTGCCACAGTCTCAGCATCAGCCAATGGAATTTTTTCCTTCTTAACGTTCCCGTCGTTAACTTTGCGCCAAAAACTGCTAACACACACACATACATACACTAAAATACATATACAGACACACACACTCATAGACATTGCACTTCGCAGCGTATGTTGCGCTCCAGTCAATACTCAGTTGAGACACCTAGAAAGTGGTGTATAGAATTTTATAGTTAATAAATAAAGTTATAGAAGTTGCCCTGCTTCAAATATTATTTTATATATTTTTATTAATAATTGAAGCTTACTAATTGTTTTGATAGCTTATAGTCCCACACAATCGATCTTAATGTCTATTTATGTTTGCTTTTCTTTTCAATAATTAATTCATATTTTTAGCCAAAAAAGTATTTTTTTGCTTTGTGCTATATTCTTATGTATATGACTAGCTAATCAGTCAATAAATATTTTAATTAATACGCAAATAAATAAATGAATAAATAAAAAAATAAATAAAAATAAATCAATTTTAAAAATTAATAAATAAATAAATACACAAATATAAATTTAAAAGAAAAAATATACATATAAATAAATAAATAAATATAAAATAAGTGCAAAAAATAAATATAAATTTAATATAGCTTATGAATGCTTGTATATAATGAACAGAAGTAAAGAACATTTTTTAAATAATTATATTAAATAATTTCTAAAACAACAAACAACCTCCAACTGTTACCTTGCCATATATTCACTATTTTAATTTAATAATTCCGAATGCTCTAAAACAACTTCAAGACTATCCAAATTTTCTACTATCTCAAACTAGATTATAG